TAATCTTTTAGGGATAAACAACGAATTTTGGAGTTAAAATTATTACAATCATTCTCATTCTCTTGCATAGGCTTGAATTGTTGGCGAAAATAGCTAGGCCATTCAAATATCACTTAAACATTCAACTTCTAGCCTGTTGACCGCATTTCTTCTGGATTCTTCCCGAGTTGACATTTGCATAACGTCATTATTCATTCAGTAGTTCATTTATTTATTATATAATACAAATTTGATATTTGCGGAAGATCGATTGCTCGAGGCATATTATATATTTATAATTATATACAATTCTACTGTCCTCAAAGCTTATGTCCATAGTTCATCTAAAATACCCATTCCAAGAGTCTTAGAATCAGTATCACTATAAAAGGAAGTTACAAAAATGCAATATAACAGCGGTATGGTAGATTAAATTGGCGAAACAGCAGGGAGGGTTCACCACTGATGAGCCAGGCCCTCCCATTAATTTTTTCATTGCAGTAAGGACAGTAGAATTGTTTATTAAAAAAAATTCATATGTGTCTATAATAGTTTCGAATTTTGAAATTCAGTTTTCATTATCAATTTTCAGGTAAATCCATTTAGAGAGCATTTTGAATGTTTCTCAAAATGGCCAACTTCCGACTCACGAATTCTTAGAATTTTGTATAGGTATTTGTGTGAAAGTCAATGCTTAATGTTCTTCATTCTGTTCTATATGGAATATCCGTTTTTTTTTGGGGGGGGGGGGGGGTATTTGACCAGATAGTCCTTAACATTTCGATAGCTTTTAAATAAAAAGTCATATATTGGATCAAAATATTATTTATTTTACCAATATTTCAGTTGGCTGAACGCCAACCTTTATCAAGGTAACATTTTAAAATGTGTCAACAACAAACTCAGCGCCACATAACGTCAATAGAATTAAGTTTTAAAAATATTTTTGCTTATATTCAATGGGGAGAAAAAGGTTGATATATAAATTTATTTGTTTTGAAAATAGAGCAATCCATACTTAATTCATTAGATAATAAAAGGCATATATTGGATTTAATAAAATATTTATATTGCCAATATTTCGGCTGGCTGAACGCCAACTTTTATCGAGGCATTACATTTTTGTATACACAAACTCAGCGCCGCATAGTGTTATGACTAGTGACTATGACTAGTGAATAACACTATGCGGCGCTGAGTTTGTGTATACAAAAATGTAATGCCTCGATAAAGGTTGGCGTTCAGCCAGCCGAAATATTGGCAATATAAATATTTTATTAAATCCAATATATGCCTTTTATTATCTAATATACAACAACAACAACAACAACAACAACAAAAGCCTTTATTTAGGGCATTCCGCCCCATATAGGATTCGCCGTATTTACACTTCAACAAGAGGAGAGGGAACATTTACAACAAAATAAAGCTTGTGTCTCATTCAGTTACCTATTTACAGAGTCCAGTATCCATTGCCCTGCATTCTTTCTTATCCGCCCAGCTTCTGTGCAGAACTTAAAGTATCTAACAATCAGTAATTCATCATTCAGAGCTGAAGAGAGAAGTTGACATATGTGTTGGTATCTAAATTGACCAAAGTTAGGGCTTGGGAAAATTGCAGTACGTTTTTCTGTTAAGAGAGGGCATTGGAGAAAATAGTGAACCAAATTTATTATCTAATATAAACTTATATTATGAACAAAAATAAATTTAGTAAAATAAAGGTGTGAAAATAGCTTAGATGGGTTTATCTTTCTGCATAGCCATTAGGGGCTGCTGCAGAATTACGTGTTGATGGTCTTCCAAATTGTAGACCAGTGGTTAAAAACCCTCGATTCCCAACAGCCATGAACCGGGATCGAATCCCGTGTTTGACACTTTTTTTTTAATATGTGAGTAACCTTCATATATTATTCATTGTTGTAAATAGAGCAATCCATAAATAAATCTTTAAATAAAAAGGCATATATTGGATCATCATTTATTTTACCAATATTTCAGTTGGCTGAATACCAACCTTTATTAAGGTGAATATAAGCAAAACTATTTTTAAATTTAATTCTATTGACGTTATGTGGCGCTGAGTTTGTTGTTGACACACTTTAAAATGTTATAATACCTTGATAATGTTGGAAAAAAAGAAGAATAGTAAATCAATGATCTTGAAATACTTTTAGACTGACAACACTGTAATATAAAAACAAAAACAAAGGAGTGTTTTTGTTTTACAAAATTAGTAATTGTAATGTAAATTGTTAAATGTTCTTTTCTCTCTCTCTTTGAAAATAATAAATTTAAAATACTTTCTTAAAAGGTAAAATCGCCTAATTCTTTAAAACCACTTCAGCTGTAAGTAAACTTGTTATTTGTTGTTTTCATTGTCTGAACCATAAGAGATTCCCAACAGATAAAGGTTGGCGTTCAGCCAACTGAAATATTCGTAAAATAAATGATATTTTGATCTAACATATGCCTTTTTATTTAAAAATATTATTTATTGTTAAAAATATCATAAACTCGGGTGTTTCTTTTGAGCGGTACCTATTAAGTGATTTTGGAATAAGAACAAGACCTTTATTTGTTCCTTGCTGAGGAACAATGATCTCTTAACTTGTTTTAAATATGTTTTCAATTATATAACTTTCAACACCCGTTTTTGAACAGGTTCTAGTCTGTTTACAAGATTAGTTAATTGCTAGCAGGATTTGTCATTTAAACAGAGATATGTTGACAACTACCGAACAAAAAGATATTCATCAAGATTTCTAATTTCAACGGATTTTAAATTTACGAGGTATTGGTGAGCATATTTTTTTCTTGGAGGATTTTTGCCAGGAGTATCAGGAATGGCTTGAAGATTACTAGGAGGGAAGTCGGTTTAAATGATGTATGGTAACACTACTATATTATCAAAATTGGAAACTATTTTAAAGGCGTAAGATTCTTTTTTATATTAAACAAATTCTACTGCCCTTACTGCAATGGAAAAATTAATAGGAGGGCCTGGCTCATCAGTGGTGAACCCTCCCAGCGGTTTCGCCAGTTTAATCTACCATACCGCTGTTATATTGCATTTTTGGAACTTCCTTTTATAGTGGTACTGTTGATAGACTCTTGGAATGGGTATTTTAGAAGAACTATGGACATAAGCTTTGAGGACAGTATAATTACATACAATTATAAATATATTTTCCATTGCAGTAAGGGCAGCATAAATTGTTTAATATAAAAAAGAATCTTACGCCTTTAAAATAGTTTCGAATTTTGATAACAGATGGCGCGCTAGTGCATCATATTATAAACTGCTATCAAATTATAAAACTATTTTAGTGGCGTATTATTCTTTTTTAAAATAAAACAATTTCTACTGTCCTTACTGCGATGAAAAAATTAAAGGCCCTCCCTTTAATTTTTTCATCGCAGTAAGGACAGTAGAAATTGTTTTATTTTAAAAAAGAATAATACGCCACTAAAATAGTTTTATAATTTGATAACAGATGGCGCTCTAGTACATCATAAACTGCTATATTATAACAATGATCAAAAATTTAACAATTGGTGTTATATATACAATATAGAGATTACCTTTATCAGCGGATTCCTCGTCGCTGGAAGATATGCGAGACAAACTGACTTGGCTACAGTGCTGTCATCGTATCACCTAGAGTCGACAGATGCTCCGGTCTGTGTCTTCATCCCGAGGGTCACAACGGAGCGACGTTGCAGGGTACGAGTCGTGTGATCCCAACGCCTCCTCTAGTTCTTCCGAGGGGGCGACGAATCCATCATCTTGTCGAGCTCGATTCTTCTACCGCTCTGATATCTCCTCGACCACCGCCGCTCGGAAGGAAGGGTCCCGGATGGTACGACTTGCCTACGAGCTCCTGATGGTCTTGGGGACCTATTCATCGTAGCTCTTCAGCGAGTCTCCAGAGCT